TACCCAGGAAATTGTAAAGCATGAAGAAGGGCCCATGAAGAAAGGGTCGATTTCAAGTCTTTCACGGGCCCAGCCGGCATCAGAGGCTGGTGCAGCCGGTGGCGGTGGACCAGAGGCTGGTGCAGCCGGGGGCGGTGGATCGGGAGATGCCACCGGGTCCACCGTCTCCGAGGATCCCGCGGCCGATGTTGACGACGCGCCCCCAGAGGAGGGGGAGGGGGGCGCCAAGAAGCAAAAATCAGCCGGACGTTATTTTTTTCTAAGCAGTATTTTTTTCCTTATATCGTGCACGATATTCAAGGTAAACAAATATGCAAAATTAATGAAATTTATTGCTCGCATACTGTTGGTAAATTTTTTTTATGACGAGTGAGAGGGCCGGGGGTCACTAGCGGCGTGCTTTGAAGCTAATGCCGACAAATTTTTTTTGTGTTCTTTTTTTTTATAAACACAGATGATACTTGCATTGTTCATGTTTTGTTTGGTCCCTTCTTTTTAATGTATACTAAAACTTCTATATGCAGTGGCAGGCTAAGAAGGTTGATACACAGTAAAACAGTTCCAAACCTATAGATGCAAGGCTAAATTATATATAATTTTGCACATAAATTTTTCAAATTGCACCTAAAAATTTTGCCAATGTGCAATTTTGCACGTACCTGAAAAAAAGTATTTCGAACCCTGATATGTAGCTTATTAATAAGAACCATATGGTTACTGTAAAATCACTTTATGTTCACAGTAGCAAAAGTTCGCGGTCTGTGAAAAATGGTGTTTGCAGACCGGTTTGCAAAACAGTACATTTCGGTGGCAGCAGTAGTTGCAGCAAAAAGAAAGTCAGCAAATTATTTGTTCACGGTAATGATAATAATGAATATAAAAGTACTGCGAAAAAGTCGTGATTTACAGTACTCACTTCTGGGTCAGGGACATGTGTGCCAACTGTGGTTTAGCGGTTAGCATTACCTCTAAGTCCCATTTGGATGTCAAGGTCATCAGGGGTGTCAATCGTGGTCAACCAGCAGCGGCTCAAACTGGTTCAAACCTGATATACGCTGGTATTAGTCTTGTACAGCAAGTAGATCTGTAGAAATAAGCTGTTTATCCTGGTATAACCTAGAGCATTTTATGTAAAGACGATTTCAATCTCATAGGCAGCAGAGCTTTCTGTCCCCACTCCCCAGCTTGACATTTTTGTCCATCCCGCTTTTTTTTTGAGGACCGGGATGAGCAAAATT